ATCTGTGTTTCAAAGCTTAAACCAAGGTAATCAGATCACTACCGAGGGGCCGGACCGGGGGCGTATGCAAATGTCGGGAGCAGTGTTTTTCTTGTATTTTGCATATATGAACAATAAAAGTCCGGCGGGAGGACAAGGAACTCTTAAGAGTGATCACGAAGCAACCGCCATCATTCGCTTTGAGAGATTCTCTTCCGCCGATCAGAAAGACAATCTTCCCTGTGTGTCGAGTCATTTATTTAACTTTGCTTTACGTACTCAAATGAAGATCCAAATCTCTCCTAGCAACCATTTTTTCGTCACTTTTCACTTCACTGTACGACAAATGTCCATCGAGAAGAATGACCAGGAATTATCAAGGCTTGAATAAGCCATGGAGGACACAGGGCGTCGAGAATGCACGGAAGAAGGAAAGCTTGCCATACAGACGTTTTCTAAACAGCAAAAGCTGCTCAACTTAATGATAAGAGGTATAAAAATAAACAAGTAAATATTATAGGAAAAAGCAAAAGACAATATTAGCATACAATGTATGAACACCACAGTCAGAAAGCACAAGACATTTGAAATTCTAGAATAAATGATGTCTTGAAGAAAAATGAAATATCTAGAAAATTTTAGAGAGGATAAAAATATTGTGACTGATAAATACCCCTTATCATAAATGAATACAATGAAGCTTTTATCCACGGCGATAGCGAACTAGTGAAAGAAATTCCAGAGTCAAGGAATACGTATAAAAATAGATAAATACAGTAATCCATCATTTTTTTTTTGCATTTAACTGGTACCTATAAAACGTGGAATATTGTTGGATTACGTTACACCTGCCACAGGGCCTCATTTAACACCAAAAGACACTGCGACACACTAACTTTCACTTAAGTTGTCACACTTGACAGACCCGTTGAACATATTAAAATTAGAGCAATCTCTGTTTTTTTTTTAAATGGGTGACTCAGTAGGAAGCAACCATTTCTTCTCAAAAGCGGGGGTTGGGGGGGGGCATCGACTGACTGGGAGTGAATTCTTATCATTGTGGCGGACACTAGGACCATGCTTCTCACCCAGCAGGCATACAGTAGGGGGCGTGGTTATGTGAATGTTTTTGGCGCAAAGTTGTAATTGTTCAGATCCACTCGTTGGCAGTCGTGGAATAAAGACGTGTTTACAGTCAATCGTGTGTGTTCCTTTCGACTACCACATTGGTGACCCTGACGTTAAGATGTTTCGATTAACGGATGAAGAGGTGTCTTCCTCGGCCACGTCGCCCCAACTCCCGCAACTTGCAACCGCCGCCTCTGCCGCGAGGCTACCGGAGTTCTGGCAGAGCGCCCCGGCTTCGTGGTTTCAGCATGTTGAAGCGCTTTTCCACCTGCGGGGAATCACCACCGATGAGCCGAAATATTACATGGTCGTGGCGTCCCTCGACCAGCTGACTACACGTCGCGCGATGCAGCTCTTGCGGGCGCCTCCACAAGGCGGGAAATACGACGGCTCTTAAACTTGAGGAGGTAATAATGCGTGTAGGTGGTCCCGCTCTCCTCTGCGATGTGTCTACGGGTCGTACTCGCCCTGTGGTTCCGTTGGATTGGCGTCGCCGAATCTTTGATTCAATCCATTCCCTCTCACACCCTGGCGTTCATGCGTCAGTCAAGCTGGTTGGGGCCAAGTTTGTCTGGCCTGGACTACGCAAGGACGTCAGGAGGTGGGCGGCTGCATGCGTGGCGTTCGCCCTGGTATCCACCGGCACACCAGGGCGA